GCAGCAAGGTCAGAAGATCTGCTCTCTAACTTACGCTGCCCTACTTTGTCCCATTATAAATGGTATAAAGATGTATTTTTTTCAAGACTTTTAATACGAGAAGACTGCCAGTTAGATCATTGGAAGGAAAAATTTATAGCTGGACTTCCATATCTATTTGCAGAAAAAGTCAAAGAAAGACTTCGCAAGAAACATAATGGAATAATAGTATATTATATATATATATATATATATATATATATATCTATGGGATAATTTAAACTTCATAACCCTTCAAATTACAAAGGTTCAAGATAGAAAGAGTTGTGACTGGTGGATTTATTAATTTTGTAGTCTATTTTTTAAAAAAAGTTACTTTTGTGGGGCAATTTTGTAAATATTACTACAAGACAAACCCTATATATAAGGTGCGGTTTGTATAGAGCCTAGGCTCTAAACAATCAAATTAGAGCCTACCATCAAATAGTGTCAAGAAATGTGGTTTCAATATCGGAAATCTTTGTAATAGCCTTAAAATATATTTTTATCTTTATTTGTAAAGTTTAAAGCTTAAAAAATAGTGCCGATCAACATATCTATGAAAACTTGAAAATCTTGAAAATTGACGACAAAAAAATGCGTTACAAAATATATTATTTCCAAAAACTTGAAATCCATTTTTTCTCATTTCCATATATCTTCAATTTGAGGATATTTGGGCATCAAAACAACATCTTCTAGTGAAATTTTTGAGGTAGGCTCAAATTTGATTGTTTTAAACTTTTCCCATATATATATATATGTGTGTGTGTGTGTGCGCGCTTGATGCTAAGAAGTATACATCAAGAGCATGTATACTATGCTCCTTCTAGGAGCGTAGTTGGCTTCTACTCCTTGGTTGGAAGACTTATTTGAGAGGATTTTTTCAATATGAAATTTTAATAACTACTTGAGAATTATTAGATAATTATTCTAAAAAAAATATTGAAATTTGAACTTTCTAATACTTAGATCTCACAATCTGACAATTCGATGGTCTTTATTCAATTTCGAGACATTATTTTTTTCAAGTGCATAGAAAGTACAACTAGGAATGAACATTCTACTCTTGACGAAGTGTACAACTAAGAATGAACATTCTACCCTTGAGAAATACAATATTTTTGGCTTACATCAATGTTTCAAATCATAATAGGCGAGATGGATCGTTCACCGACATATAAAAATTAAAATAAAGGATTATAGGGTAGGAATTTAGAAGGGATACGAGAAAATATTAGAGAAGATTTATTTCTTTTTATTTTATTTTTATGAGAGGCATTTTAGGGAGAACTAGGCCAGGACCCATACCATCCGGAAACTGGTCTATCCCAATCGATATCCATCTAGATTGACGTTCCAAATCGAAAATTGTCGCGTTTTAAAACATTGGTATGCATATTTAATTTTGGAATTAAATTTCATCATCATCGAGGCCTTGCCCAACTATTTGGGTTCAGCTATACAAATTCTAGTTCGTCATTATACTATATCAATGGCTATGCTCTTAGTGAGGCCATAAATCCACATATATTTTTTCATTATTTTCAACCATGCAGTTTTGGGATTACCCCTTGCCCCTGTTTAGCTTTTTACTTTAACCAACATGTATCTCCTAACGAGTGTTTTACTAGGTATGTGGTGCACAATATCCAAGCCCAACTAAGTCTACTTTCTTACATCTTATCGCATATTAAAGCCACAATTCTCCCAAATATATTCATTTTGAATTCTATTCATTCTTATCTTGTCATTCATCCATCTCAACATTTTCATATCTGCTACAATCATCCTATGGGTATGTTGTTTTCTGACCACCCAGTATTCCACCCTAATAAAGCAACATTGGTGTTACAACCGTCTTATAAAACTTGTCATTTCATTGCTATGCGGTGATCACATGAAACTCCGATTGCACATCTCCAATTCTCCCACCATGCTCTAAATATATGTGCGACATCTTCTTCAATCTTTCAATTTATTTAGATTATCAGCCCAAGATATAAAAATGCGCGCTTTTTGGTATCCTCTTGGTTGTTAACATTGGCTATTTTTTTGTCTTGCATTCCATATATTATGCCGTAGTAAAGCTAATTTTAAAATATTTAGATTCTAGAACATCCTTCCAAAGTTCTAACTTTGTGTTGACACCACTTTGGGTCTTATCGATCAAAATTATGTTGTTCGCGAATAACATATACCATGGTACCTCATCTTGTAAGTGCCTAGTTAAGTTGTCAATAACTAAGACGAAGAGGTATGAGCTCAACGTTGACCCCTGATGTAGACCTATTGTCCCTGAAAACTAACTCGTCTCTAGTTGTTCGTACACTAGTTAGTGCTTCGTTGTATGTATCGCTCACCAAGTTGATATATTATCTGGAGACTCATTTCTTTTTTAACTCCTACTAAATTAAATCTTGAATTACTTTATCGTAAACTTTCTTTAGATCAATAAAGACCATATGGAGGTACTTTTCCTTTGCTTTAAACTTCTCAATCAGTTTTTCTACTTAGACAAATGATTATGAAGCTTAGGGTGAAAGAAAAAAACCTCCATATATATATATATATATGCATCAAAATTTTAAACTAAATTTGATGTATAAAAAAGAAAAACTAAGTAAAATATACTTTAAAAATATTTGACTCAAATTTAAAATATAAAATAACAAAATACACTTAACTTCCCAATTAATATATTACCCCTATTTAAATGCTACAAATTTCATTCTCCTACTATTCATTTACTCAATGAAGAAAAACCCAATGTAGGAGCAATTTTATGACCCTAAAATTTGGGGATGGAATGTAATCAGCCCATAGAATAATCTCAATAAAAAGATTTCCAAATGGCACTGTATATGCACTTGGAAAAGATTAATGACTCAAGAGTCAAGAGTCGTAGACCATCCAATTTTCCGAGTTTTTGCTGGTGAGCTCTAAGTGTTAAAAAAACTAAAAAAATGAAACTTTATTTTTTTAAAAATAATTAGATTCTTAAGTGATTGCCTAGATAGAAGAAAAAAGTCTTTCGGATAGGTCTAACGACTGAGGCAGTAGGAATACAATATGCTCCTGCTAGAGCATAGTATGTGCGATCCAACTGCTTTGAAGGGTCTTTAAAATTAAGTCAAAATAAATTAATAAATTATTAAAGGTCTCTTTAAATGTGTTTAATGAACGCTTTAACAAATTTCCATATAAAAAATTTATTTTTAAGATACTAAATTGGGAATTGTATGCAATTTTCCTTAATTTTAATTTTCTTACAAGAAAGCGTAAAGAGGACCTTGGATTATCATTTGGCCGCTGAATTTGACGCGTATTAAACATTTCCGGTGAACATTATGAAAACGGCGCCGTAATTATTAAAAGACAGAGGAGGCATCGCCAGTTTTGGTTGTTACGTGTGAACGTTCCTCTTTCTCTCTCCTCCTCCCTACCTCTCTCTCTCTTCTCTCCTCTCCTCATCATGTCTCCTCTCTCTTCGCTTCTCTCAAGACTGAACCATACTTGTAGTCACTGTCCTGTCTCTCTCTCTCTCTCTCTCTCTCTCATCACTTTCTCTCTCCTGTTTTCTTTACTCTCCCACTTCACTTCCTCACCTTTCCTGTTTCCTTTCAACAAATCGTTCTTTTTCTCACTTAATTCCTCACCTTTCCATTCCATTCCATGCCTTTCCCTATTCAACCTTTTCCAGTACCCACACTCTTTCTCTCTCATCTCTCCTTCTCTTTCCCTCTCTACACTCTCAACTCACTCCTCACTCTTTTCTCTCCCTTCGTCTACTCCTCGTCCATCTCATTCTTTCCCTCTCTCTCTCTATTCCCATTTTCTCTCTCATCTCCATATTTATCCTCTCTCTCTATCTCTGCAACTTATAAATCTCTCTCTAGATTGGCTTATACCCATCTCTCTCTCTCTCTACATCAAACACCTATGAATCTCTCTCTCTCTACAGCTAGCAGCCATGAATATCCATCTCTTACCCCGTTTTACCTATCGTCTCTCTTTTTACTGTCAAAGCAGCAAAATGTGGACTTTCTCTCTCTTCCTTGGGCATCGTGAAGAACACTCCTAATCCCCCCCCCCTTCACTGCACAACGTTCCTTCGACGGAAGCCACAATAAACAAACAAAACACACAGACCACTATCCTCTCTCTCTCTCTCTCAAAACACACTCTCAACCCTGTCGTTCACTTTCTCTCCATGAGTGACCGAAACGCACCTCTCAAAACACGCCTCTCTCTCTCTCTCTCTCACTTGAATAGAAAACCGTAAGGGGCTCAACGCTGTCCCCCACTCTCTCTAGCTACCTTCTTCTTGGGTAGTTCACAGTCACCGTTTTGGTGTCTCGGCCTCTCTCTCTTCCACTTCCAGTAGTGGCGCCACCTCTTCTCCACGACCATGTTCCTCATTTTCCTCCTCCTCTTCTCTCTCCTCGTCGGGAAACCATCCGCTATTGCGGGTAAACCATTTACAATCTATCGAAGGGTCCTCCACCAGCCATTTTACCCCACAAATTCTGGTGCTCCAGCCCCTCCTCTCTCTCCTCCACCACCACCAGAAAACCAGATTCCGGTCAATGGTGAGCCGTTCTTTCCAACACTTGCTCCCCCAACTTCAAACCCCACATCGAAGCCAGCTCCGACCACCTCTTCTGTCACAATTCCGGCCAATATTTCCGGCCTAATCCGCCCAAACACGCCAGAAAGCCACCCCAGAATCGCTGCAAAAATCACAGTCGCTGTTGTTGTGATTTTAGCCACTCTTGCTGTCGTATTTTTGTTGGCTTACTATATCAGGAAATCTCGTCGAAATTCAGGCAATGGGGTTTCATTAAAAGGGTCTCGAAGTTCGAGATCTGGTAGCCTGAGACTTTTTCCGGCGGCGAATTCCGGTACCAAAGTTGGGGTCTCAACGAGCTCTGATGTGCTCTATTTGGGAACTGTTAATGCTGTCTCTCCTTGCCAGAAAAACGTCGACTCGCCAGAAAACAGGCCGGAATATCGATACAGCCCAGAAATCAGGCCATTGCCGCCTCTATCCAGGCCGGTTTCTGGTGAGAATGTGGCTTTTCCCAGCAATAATGTGGCTTTTCCCAGCAATAATGGGGCTTTTTCTGGCGAGAATGTGGCGTTTTCTGGTGAGCCTTTGACAGAATCTGGCGAATCCGAGGACGAGTTCTATTCACCAGGGGGGTCGCCCAATACTAGTTCTGCCGGATCTAATGGCCAGAAAAACGTGCCGGTGAGTTTACCATCCAAGGGGTTTAGCTTGAGCTCGAACACGAGCACACCTTCTTATCCTTCCTCCAACTTGACTTCTGCAACTCATTCAAGGTCGAATAGTCCATCTCCTAAGCAGAGTGGTGAGCTTAGAGGGAATTCAATGCGAGAATCTGGGGAAGAAGATAACGAAAACTTGATCTTCCGGCCACCTCCACCGCCCTTTCCGGGGACCCATTCGCCGGAATCCGACAGGAAGGCAAGTTTTCGTCCATCTCCAAGGACCAATTTGCCCGGAAATGCAGGAAAATCCGGCAATGAAACTGAGGTTTCTGGCAACTTAGAGAAGTTATTTAATGAACCCAATAAAGAATCAGAGGACCGTAGTGAATTTTCAGGCAAATTATATGAGTTTTCGAGCAAATCCACCAAAGTTTCAGCCCCCTACAGTGATTTTGAGAGCCCCCCATCGAGAAGCTTGGGTGATCGAGATAGAGTTGCAGAGAAATTTTCAGGTCAAAGAGATGAACTTTTCGGCAAGGTAAATGAATTTTCCGGCGACCCAATAAAGGTTTCAGACTCCCTAAGTGGTTTTAAGAGCCCCCCATTGAGAAGCTTGGGCGATAAAGTGAGGGACCCAACAAAGGTTTCAGACCCACCAAGTGGTTTTGAAAGCCCCCCATTGAGAAGCTTGGGGGATAAAGTGAAAGTTCCAGAGGGAATCTCTGGCCAAAAGAATGAATTTTCCGGCAAGTTATGTGAGTTTTCCAGCAACTCGACTAACACTTTTGACCCCCCAAGTGGGTTTGAGAGCCCCCCATTGAGGACCATTGGCGAAAAAGTTATAGCAGAGGGATTTTCAGGCCAAACAGATGAACTTTCCAGCAAGCCGGCTCAAATTTCAGGCCAAAATTCAGGCAAGCAACCAGCAAGGGCACCACCTCCTCCTCCACCTCCCCCTCCACCATTTCCATCTAGATTTTGGGAGCCTTCTCTTCTCACTCCATTGCCTAGACCTATGAGTAGGCCTCAGTCTCTGGTTACTCCAGAGAGCAATGGAGAAACTCCATCAAGTTTTCTGGAGGGTGATGCTGGAATTTCGGAGAATTCCGGTGAGAAGAGTGATGATAACCCCCGCCCCAAGTTGAAACCTTTGCATTGGGATAAGGTCCGGGCGAGCTCAGATCGAGCAACAGTGTGGGATCGGTTGAAGTCAAGCTCTTTCAAGTATGTGTCTCCTTGGGTTTTTTATTGGATCTCTTTGTGCGTGTGTGTGTGTGTGTGTGTGAGAGAGAGAGAGAGAGAGAGAGAGAGAGAGAGAGAGAGAGAGTATTCAGTGG